CTATACAGGACACACTGCACTCGATATTTCACGCGAGCTCCTTTTCCCCTTTCTCCTACGCTACCGATTTTTCCTCCTCCTCCGGGCAGCTGCCGCGGCTCCTCAGGGGGGGGGGACAGCCCAGAGGCAATATCGCAGTCGACTAGCGGCATACCAAAGGAGGCGGCCGATCGGAGTGATATTTTTAAGAACAGAAGCGACGAAGGCCCGCGGGAATGTTAAGACCGGCTTGGAGATCGAGCCTCCATCCCTACGTAGCATAGTGTGCACGTGGTTGTGCGGGGAGGGGGGAGAAAAATATTCGGGGGAGCGAGTGACAAGCCGGGAAATTGGAAAATTTAACTCCGACTTCTTTCCTCCCGTTCCCCGCCGACTCGTCCCGTTTTACAGCCAGTCACCCACTACTTATTTTCCTCTCCCTCCAGACTCGTGCACTTTCGAGCTCGGGAGCTCCACCGAGTTATGGAAAAAAAAAAAAAAAACCCCGAGGGATCAGGAATGGATTGATGCCAGCTAAACTCCGTCAGCGACACCTAGTACGCTTTCAACAGGCCTGCGCGTAAAAAGTGATTTTCCTGTAGGTGGTGCTGTTTAATTTATCTCGAGTTGATGTGCAAACAAAATATGAAGCGGGTTTTTTCATTAAAATGAAAGGAGTAAAGAAAAGAGGAGTGCAAGGGAGGGAAAAACGTCCGCGACACGCGCTTACTGTCTGGTGCAGGCAGAGTCAGCAGCGTAATTGCGCACTCGAGGCAGCTCGCACCCCCTCCCCATTAAGCCGTTTGGATTTTTCGAAATGCCGCCACTGCGCGCACCGCCGCTGGAGTTGACACGATCGCTCCCTCGTCGATTCTTCTGTACCTCTACGCGCCTCTGTCTTTTGAAGCTGTGCCGGTTTTTTTTTTTTTTGTCTTGGTGCCAAACTCGTTTGAAGAAGGTCGACACCTCCAAAGCCAGGCTCGAGGCGCACTTTCGGCTCAAAGCTCGTTGCAGCTCCACACATGTGTACAGGGAAGGAAGGACGGCTTCACGCGAGCATACGGTGCAGGGAAAATGAGGTTATTGCGCAGCTGCTGTTTTTGAAGAGGAGAAGAAAGGGGGGGAAGGGGGTTGAAATAAGCGGGTGAAGCGAGGCGAAAGTTAAATAGGGGTGGAAATAATTCCGTCGCTGCAAAAACGTAATGTTTTAAAGGTGGCAGAGCCTGGGGATAAGAAGAAAATGAGATAGGTCTAATGACCTGCCGGCCCTTTTTTTGTTTTTACTTCGTTTGTACGCCAAGCTCTTTTTCCCGACGCGTCCTCTGAGAAATTTTCTTAAGCCCCCCCCCCGCCTGGCATTGAAAGCAAAAAACTTTTGGATGAACAAACGTTGAGTGGGAGGAAACGAGAAATGTGAGAGAGCCATGCTGATGGCAATACTAACGAGCCCCTATACGTTTCGCTCGCGAATACAATGGGCGCTCGATACGTCATAGCTTGGAGATCTTCTTGGGACCCGAAACGCGCATCAGCGTGTGTACATACCTATGCATTTTGGTATTATTTCGGAGTAATGCACGTCAAAGTGCTTTTTATCAGCCGGAAGAAATCGAGGGGGGAATCCGTCGAAAGAGAGAGAGAGAGAACAAATTCGCAAGATACTTTTTCCCTCGGAGCAAAGTCTCATTGAACTCGCGTTTTCCCGATAAGAAGGGAAAGAGGCAGGAGAAGGAGGAAAAAAAAAAGAAAAGAGTCACCACTGAGCTACTTTCCGATAGCTTATATTGCAATTCGATACAGCCACACACTGTGCCACCTCGAGATCAGCCAGATACTCCGGTAATCGATTTTCGAAGGACCACACCAATAGCCGATTGTTCGCGACTTACGGCTGGGAGGCCATGCACTTTGTCATTTGCTCGGATATAAAGTATTATTCATCGGGTTATTTACACAAAAACTAACAGCTAAACGGCAAAGGCAGAGAGCGTGTTTACGACCGGCCCGCAACTTACGCCCAAACTATTACCATGGCATAATAAATTGAGCAAACCCGGGTGGGGGCCGGTATATACCTCGTCATCTGGGATAACTTTGCGTAATTACGGGGCACAACAAGCGCCCACCCCCTCCCCCGTTTGTTGGCTTCCAAAAATCACGGCCTGACGGGGCTTAACGGCAACCGATTAATGAAGCGCCGTCGTCGTTTCAACGCGACAACGACCCTGTCGATTAATGAACTCACCTGGTATGACTTGCAACGTGCAACCCCCTGGATTTACGACTCGAGGGGTCATTTGGGGCTTATCTCCCCGGTGGCTCTTTTGCGTTCGCCTTGTTTTTTGATCTTTCACGCGTGCCATCTTGGGTGTTGGCAATTTTACTTGACTGTTGAAATATTTAATAAAAAAGATTTTTTTACAATCCAAACGTGTGCTTTCAGTATTTTTTTTTTTTTTTTTTTTTTTTTTTGCCGCAGCATCATTATTTTCTCTTCGATATTCTTTAACGGGTAAGACAATCTAGGGGCAGTAACGAGGAGAGAGCATGAAAATTGCTTGCAATCATTATCTCGTGCAGCTGCACTCGGTGATTTTTACGAGAAATAATAACCGGCTAGTGGTGCCCCCACGGTACTCGAAATATTCTCATCACGCGACTACTCCAGTGTAGCCTGAAAAAGTGTTGTTTCAATGCACGGAAGAGTCTACGAGTGTTAATTTACCAAAAGTTATAAAAATAACTTTGTCGAGCCAAGCTCGTACTAATGTAATGTACGTGATAAGTGCGAGGAAGTAGGGGGATGTGCGTCCACGGTCCTCGGCTGCTCCACCGGCAGTTAACCCTTTTAGCCCTCGCGTGAATTAATGCTGATATTCTAAAACCCTACGCCGAGCAACTCGTAATTGACGCACACTCAGGGCTGGATTAATCTTCCATTACGCCTCCGAGTTTGAATGAAACAGCATCATCTACCATATTTCACGAGTGTACAACTATAGTATGATAATCCCCCGAAATGGACGCCAAAAGGGTAAATAACAAACGTAGCGTGTCTTGTTTCTTTGCGCGTAAATTATGGAGCAATGCAATTTTAGACAACGCTTTGCCACACACGATAAAAAAAAAAAAAATAAATAAAAAGTAAAGTTAATGGAAAAGGCTAAAAAAAAACATGGTAACGAAAAATTTCTGGTCGACGTGGCAACAGAGGCAAATAAGGTTGGCTGTGCGGGAACGGGGGGGGGGGAAAGAAAAGGTAGCACGACAGGCAGGGAAGAAGACTGTACGACGTTGACGACGAGGTCGAGCGCTTGAAGTACCCTGCAAGTCTATTTTTGCTTGGGATGTGCTAACAAGCTGCTGCTGCTGTGGGGGCCGTGGTGTAACAACGGCAGCTACGAACCTCCAACTACGTTATATTCCACAGACTCATTAGAAAAAAAAAAAAAAAAAGTTTGTGCTCCACACAGGCTCTACCTCCATTATAGCGCGCATCGTCGCATTTTTTTTCCCCTCCAAGGAGGATCGGGAGGCTTATTCATCTTGAAAAAGCCCCTGTCGCGTGCACGTGCTTTGTTATTAGTGCACCCCCATGAGCATAATCCACGGGGTCTCTCTCGCTGCGGGTAAAAATATTCACGAGCAGGCACCCCGGCCCGTGTCGGAGCCACTTGCACGGATAAATATATGTTTGACCACGCGCTCGTAATTAACCCTCGTGTGGGCCCGGCAGACCGAGACTTTGCTGTTTCGTCAAGTATATGCGGGGTACTCGCGAAGCTCTCGAAAATTAATTGCAACCGCGTGGTTCTCCCGACCACTTTGATCGGCCAACGAACACGCGGCTCTCACGTACATGAGTAATTTCGGTAGTATCCACCACCGAGCGGTTGTTGTGTCGACTGCTGGAAAAGCGAGGGGAGAAAAAGAGAGGGACAGGCATAGTCGAGCGCGTTAGCACCCGGGAGTTCTCGGTAAACAAATAAACCGCGCCATTCCCGCGAGTACGTGCACACATACTCAAAAAATAACCAGGGGGAGGAAGCGACCCGGACGTGAGTTATATACACTGCAAACAGCGCGGGGCAGTAGAGGCAGCCTTTGCCTTACGGGAGAGCTAATGCACGCGAGAGGGGGTGGCGAGGGAGCTTCTTTGAGCTCCTTGTGCACGTATACGGTTTTTGCGGGGCAAACGTCGTGCTCCCCCTGGGATCAAGCGCGAATATCATTTTCGAGCTATCGCGGCTCGAGTGCACGGTATAATCGATACAGCTCCGGCTTGCGCGTCGAGTTGCGGATAATGGCCGTAAATCAAGCGAGGGGACGCGTTTGTAGGTGTACGTTATTACGCAGGGATGAATTATCGGCGTTGAAATAAATTTGGGAAAAGTGTCGAAATACATGGGCTCCCTTGATTTTATTTGTAAATGAACATCGACGTCGCGCGTTCATCATTTCTGGAATACTGTGTGTATACGTCACGAATATTCCGTGATTTCGATGTTATTTCTGCGAGAGACACAGTAAAGTTATCGATAATAGTAACAATAAATCACTGAGGCGAAGCTCCTCCGGTGCGAAACATTTTTCCCAGATGCAACGCGACACTTTGGACGCGCAGCTCGAAAGCCCCTCAAATTGTTCCTCATAGTAGAGGGGGGGGGATGCATCATCGAGATATTGACTTTCGGGACTGTCGCGTTTTATCACGATCGTGTCGAAAACATACACGTGCACGTGCCGTCACGTATACTCTCGGAAAAGATCCAAACAGTGCCCCAGTTTCGTCGCTGGAGGGAAAAAAAGGAAAAATCATCGGACACACAAAGGGTTGAGGGTTCTTTGATCCGTTGCACCGATTAGGCGCACGATTTGACCAAGCACGTGATGAGAAAAAAAAAATTAACCGCTGATTAATGACATTGTAGCAAATATGAAGTATCGCCCCTTACCAAACACACTCAAACGCAGTGATGGGGTAGCAATCGGTTTTATTTTTCTGAAATGTTCCAGGCACTGGCAGTACAAGCCGAGCAGGGTGCTCGCACGGCACGTCGACTGGAAAAAAAACATTCTGTAGATCCTTGAGAGAAAGGGTTTTCCATTGTGCCCCGGACGCGGGAGATGATGCCGCCTTAATTGGATCAACAAACGGATAGGACATCCTCGAGCACGCGCAAGGAAAAAAAAAAAAAAAAAGAAAAAGAAAAGGAGGCCAAAGGCTCGTTTAATTAGCCCACTCGTAGCTGCACGAGCAGCACAGAAATAGCAGAGACGGGAGCGAGAGATCCACGCGCGAGATGAGGCCGCCGCGAGCGCAAGTGGAACAGATCGCCGTGCGGTCAGCCGGCAGCGACAAGCGAGAGCAGTAGGTGGGTAAGAACCAGCAGTCGACGCGGTGGAGGTGGACGCCAAAGGGGCGGTGGAGGGGGAGGAGCAGGACACAGGATGGAGCCACGGCTGCTCCTGCTTCTGCTGCTCCTACTCGGGGCGCGTCGGGCACGGGCCCTCGCCGTCAAAACCAAGCTCAACCCGAGGATCGTGCAGACCAGGTAACTACTGCTCGTTGCATCGTGTGTGTATAATATACATGTATACTTGCGTGAAATAAAGTGTATAACGTGTCGATTATTTTGTTCGCAGATACGGCAAAATACAGGGGCTGATCGTGTCGTTCGAGAACAGCAAGTACCTCAAGCCGATAGACGCGTACCTCGGAGTGCCGTACGCGACCCCACCGACCGGCGGCAACCGGTTCTCCCCGACGCGGGCGCCGAGCCCCTGGGACGGAAACAAGTGAGTCATCAATCATACACCGATTCATTTTCTTGTGTCCCTACTCCCTTGATCCGTAGTACAGCCACGGCCCCAATCTTTCACTTCTGCAAAGCCCCGACCGAGTTATTGATGGTAACCGCTGAGTGAATGTACACCAGCGTTACTTGTTTTCATTACCTCGGCAACCGAGAGACAAATGCCTCCGAGGCTTGGACGCGAAACTGCTCGAGAATTCAAAGGGCGTGTCTCTCGCTAGCTGTTTTAATTGCTATGTATATACGTACGGCTGGGGTAACAACGTGTTTGCCAAAAGAGTTCGACCTCAAATCCCAGAGGGATGAATTTTCAAGGGGCACCTTTTTTTTCTCCTTGGGCTTTCAGGATGGCGGACAAGCTGGGCCCGGTCTGTCCGCAAAAGCTGCCAGACATCTCGGACGAGCAGGAGGTGCTCAACCACATGCCGAGGGGCAGGCTCGAGTATCTCAAGAGGACACTGCCCCATCTGCGCAATCAGAGCGAGGACTGCCTCCACCTGAACATTTATGCCCCGGCCATGGGTGAGTTTCTCCACGTACAGACATATATCCCCTTTCTCTCCCATTCAACCAAGATCTCGCTCCTATTCACTTGCAACGTATCAAAGGACGCCCTCCGAGAATTCTATGGCCCGTTCGAATGGGGCATCATTATACGCGAATAATTGTACTTGCGACCCCACAGTACCATACATGTATATTACACGGCATTACATCTCGTTAATCGCGAGTTGATATTACCTATATACGTATACATCAAAGTTTTACAATCGTGGGTGTAAGCCGGCAGATGGGAGAGTGAGAGAGAGAGAGACGCCTCCCTGCGATATAATTTAATTTTACATGGGTGCGAGCTCAGCGGTGTCCACGCCAAACTTACCCGGCAAACTCCCAGTGCCGTGAATTTTGCACGGAGTCGTATATATAATATGGGAGCGACGCTCATATCCATCCCGTATATCTGCGCGTGCACATCGATTTATCGATTAGCCAGTCTCTCCCCAGAGCCATTTCATTGGGTTGGATGTATATATTATGGCCCTCCTCCTCCCGGTCCCAATTCCTCTTTCACTCAGTCACTCATCGCAACCACTTCGCGGAACGATTCTCCTCGTCATCTCCGGCTAATGCGTCGAGCTTCGACCTATCTGCCTCTCTCGTGCCCGTACCACTTGTACTCCCGACGTACCGGCGTTAAATTCATCATCCGTTAAACCGATGGATGCGGATTAACGATCGCGATGATCGACCGAGAGAGCATCGACGCGTGAAAATGCCTCTCTCTCTCTCTCTCTCTCCTCCCTTTACCCGGTACATTGTCATTGCTGTCGCGGGCAAAAAGTATTAAATTTCTCTTTGCGGTGTATGAATAATCCACCGCCAGCCCCGGCTATCCATCCAGGGCTGGGTACGTTTGAAAGAATTTTTTTTTTTCTTTTTTCGTAAAAGTCGATTAAAGCGAGTGGGGCACTTGCGTCATATCGTACACCAAATAGAGGCAGCTTACTCGTAATCCCACTTGGACGGGTCGGCGTAGCGGAGCCCGCCCATTTTCGCGTTTAGTCACGATGATCGGCAAAATTCCTTCTCATCCCTCCGCGGCCTATTCATATTTATACATGTATATCCATTGCCCGATGGGGAAAAAAGTAAAGGGTGAAACGTTGGAGTACCGGCAGGTGGTTCTTGGAGCTTAGCGAGCATCAAGCACCCAAGAGGGCGTGGAAAAGGAATGATCCAACGATTCACCAGTGGCAATAATAATGTTTGGTCCCACGCAAATTTCAGAGATGGAAAAATATAAAAGAGTAACCAACCCCCGTGCATCTTGTACCTACAAGCTGTGAAACGACAAGTTGAAAAAGAAAAAGGGGAAAAACGGTAATCTAGTTGCGTACCTCTGCAAAGTGCAGTATAGCCGGCTGTTAAAAACAGGAGCCAGCCGAGCGTTATTTATTTTAATCGGATTTGCATTTCAGCGTGTCATTTTTTTTTCTTTTTACAATCCCCGCGTGCGGCGCTCATATGTCTCCTTCCGCTCTATCCTCTCGAGTTCCTCCCTCTACCGCTACTTTTCCGTGCACTCGCATCCACACTCCACGCGCTATACTATGTGCCCGTTGATACCGTTGCTGGCGGCTCTTTGACTTTGCTTTTTTTCCTTTGCTCTCCGGAACTGCTGTACCTTCGCGCTTCCTGTCGCCGCGAACAATATTTTATTTTCAAATGAACCCCCCCCCCCCCGAACAGTTTTGATTGCATTGAATAAGCAAATTTCTCGTCTAATGGATTCTTTCCTCTGTTTCCGTCCAGTCCATCCTTTTTTTTTTTCTTTCCTTCTTCCCCAAACCGGCAGCGAGCGCTCAGCGGGCCCCGTTAAACCGTCAATTTATTCCGCTGAAATAAATCCAGTACGAAGCTCCCCATGAATCTTCGTGGCGACGCTTTTGTTTTTAACGGCTGCCCCCGTTGATCTGCCGCGTCACGTATACATACAAATATATAGATGCAAATAATCTCTTTCAAAGTACCCTCTCACCAGCCCAAAAGTCCATGAGAGCTAATTTGTTTCCAACAAAACTCGGTGTGTTTCATATCCTCGGTGCCGAGGTAATTGGGAGAAACGAGTTTTTCCGCGGGTTGACTAAACAAAGAGGCAAGGGGAGGAAAAAAAAAACAGCCTCGGTGACAATTTTCTCGGGCTCAAAGTCCTTGGTCGATTCCTGGGCAGGTGCACGCGCGTCGGCGAAAATGGAAAAATTTGCGTCAGCCTCGACGAAATCCTTAGGGGGGGGGGGAGAAAAGGAGCATACCCTTCGGAGACAGAAAAGGATGGGAAAGGGCGAGATAGACACGAGCGAAAAATAGGGGAAAAGAAGGAGCTGCCGTAGCGATGGATAAAGCCCGAGGAGCGGAAATTGAACGGCGGTGGCAGGTAGCGCGGGAGCATAAAAAAAAGCTTCCTTGCCGGAGCTCCTCGCGAAACAAAAAAAAAAAAAAAACACGTACAAGGAGAGCGTATGGAATATATGAAAATTCGAAGAAGCCCGTGGTTAAAGCCCGCAGCTGGCTCCACCCTCGGCGTGTGTCGAGGTAAAAACAAGGTACAACGCTGAAACTATTTTGTTACTCGTTGAAAAAAAAAAAAAGAAATACCTATCCGATGGAGCGAAAGAAGAGTGAAAACATTGGGCGCGGGTAAGAAAATTAGTTGATCCCCGTATACTCTCCGTATAGTCGCGACGGCATGATTAAATCAAAGCGACGCGAAATAGAGACCCTCCCCCGCCCCGATGCAAAGTTTAAAATGAAACAGCTCCGCGCGGCAGAAATGTCAGCGAGTCAGAAGCGGGTATAGCGACGAGAGCACGTGCAACGCCGTCTAATCGAGTTGGGCCAACTTCAAGCTCGAGAGGAGGGCGGGTGACAGTTGTTTTCCACGCAACTAAAGCCAATCCGGAGGGAGTCCTCCCGGTTCGGCTAACTCGGGGACAGGCAAACTCCATTGAAAGGATACACCCAGTCTAGGTCTTTTTAACGAGGCAACTGCATATTTTTCCAACTACGCACGCGGCAAAAGTACACAAATTCGTGTACATAGGGTATACAAATATGCTCGCGTACGATTGTAAGCTCGCGCGATTCACGGAAGCTCGGACGCTGACCTGGTTGGCCCCCGCATAGCTCGCATACTCGAAAGGGCACGCGCTCCCGGAGAGCAGCATTTTTGGGAACGCGTGCGTGGCTAATGCCCCGAAGTATTCAAGCGGTGTGTTTGCGATTCGGAGCGTGCGCGCGGTGGTTTAACTAGAAACGCCCGAGCGCCCCCGTCAAGTATGAATGGGCCGTGCCAAGTTGTTGGTCCGTTCGCACTTTCTTTTGCTGGGCAGAAAGAAGACGCGGGTGGTCTGGGGGAGAAAAAGGAAAAAAGAATCTTGTTAGCGGGTCTGCTCGAGCTTATGTTTTTTGAGGCTTGGAAAAGAGGGGGAAAATTTTTTCCCTGAAAGACCGTCTTTTGCGGAGAACTTTTTTAAAAAACAACGTCCTCCACTTTTGCGCTCTACTTCGGGGACTCACTGGTATATACTGGTGGTGCGACCTTCTTGGCCTGCTCTCTTAGCCGTCGAGCACACTCGAGTGTGTGTATATACCTATAAGTAGCTCCCGGTCGCTCATCCGATCGGTACTTTCGGGAAGTTTAATGGAAACTTTTTCTCCTCCGACCCAACCCACCTCCACTTTGTTCCTTTTTCATCCCCTCTTTGCGTTATTTGTCTCGGGGAGCTCGTGAAAAACTCTCGATGGCGCGGTTTTTTCCTCTCATATCTCCAGCGACTCTATTAAAAAATCATTTGAAACGCGAGTGTATGTACCGAGCCATCGAATAGCCCATCCGGCCGTTTGGAGCTTCCGCTGCAAACTCGGGATGTATCCTCAACTCCCCCCAAATCAAATAGCTCTTCATAACTGAAATATTCACACAATCACTCGCGGTATGCTTAACGGCGCGAGCTGAAGTTACGGTGTACAACCTAGTTTCAAAGTTACCCCACCGAAACCTCCATCTACCTCCGCTCGACCGCGTAATGCTTATAACTGCGAGGTATTTTTTTTTTTTCTCTCTCAGTATATACCCCGTACACACGTTTGTGGTAAAAAAATATGGTTGCGGACCCAAGAAGCCGATAAGAATTGAAAAGCCACGCCAATATTCTCTCGAGGAGCACGGAAGGGAGAGAAAATATGGAGGGAGAGCAAAAAGTAGTAGCGACAACGGTGGTTATGGAAACAACACGACGAGTCATTGTTACGGAAAATTGCCCGTCGATGTTTGTTCGGCAGTAGTTTCTTATACCAGGGCGCATCGGGACCTTTATTCCTCGCCCGTGTAACGGGGGAGCGGATAAAAAAAGAGGGAACGAGAGAGAGTTTGTGCATCAATATCGATCCGTCACTCCGCGGGAGGATCCGAGAGGTATATCCATACATATGTATTTCATGTGTGTTTTGAGTGAATATACCCGAGCGCTCGCCAGTTTTGCCGATTCAGCGCGTCGTTGCGAATTCACGAGATCCGATGCTCCTACACCCCCCCCCCCTGTCTATATAATATCCGCTCTTGGTGGCCCGTGTACGTATGTATATAACAGGTAAGGAACTCGGCTTTTTCATCTCTTCCCAGCGCCCACCACAATACCTCCGCCGACCTCCTTTCTTACATATACACACGCGTGTGTGCTCGCTCGCGTTTCGCGCGGATATATTTTCCGAGGAGGTGGTGCATCGACTGTGACCGGGTCCCTCTTTTTTTTCCACTCACGTTTTGTGTACGTACGGGTTTTTATTTACCTTTATGTTCCACAGCCGCAGCTTATACGTCAGTTTTACGTCTTTCGGCGTTTTCGAATGAAGCATAAAAAAAAAAAAAAAGAGAGAGAGAGAGAAGCGAAGACGTAAAATCTTGGTATCAAATAAAATACAGGTTTACCGTCGCAGCTCGTAAGACTTTTCCATTTGATGGA